TGGACTGACTCTTCTTGGAGTGATGGCTTTTAATTGAATAGGATTCGCGTGTGAGTTTATCTAGTACTTGATCAAAAACAATTGCGCTTTCTGTCCGCCTTCGATTTTACATAAACTTCTCCCCGAACAATCAACTCACACGCCGCGCCTCCCAGACTCCCGCCGAACGATATGTCCACCGACGTAGGCGTCGCTACACCGCCGCTGATTTCTCTTACTTACCTTTCACTCCGATAACCCGGTAGCTTTCCTTGACGTGGGTTTTGTCCTCACAGAGGTTTTCCCCGCAAGGTTTTGAGGCACCCGTGGTCTGCATCGCCATTTACTTATCCCTTTTCACTATACACGGTCCGTCGGGGTACTAGTACCTTAGCTATTTATTTAGCGTAGGCGGAATCAATATTGTAACATTGTAACAGCCATGGGTCCCGGTGAGATGCATCATCATTTTCCGATCCTTTGCTTCTCACATGTCGACAGCCGACATTCGATTCAAAGACGACCCCAAGAGACTTCCCCTTCTCAGTCGCATCTTTGAGTGGCTCGAGGCGAAACAACCAGGCCTAGGACGGCAGATCGTTCTCAAGGAGAACGAGGTTGACAACGCGAACGCATGGAAAGCGCGACTGATTGGCGACAACGACGATATCGCGGCTCAGTTTCCCAGTGGTGTGAGAATGCCCCACCCGGTGGAGTGGAAGTGTATCCAGCCAGATAGAGACAGGTGGGGAGATGAGGAGGCCGTCGAGGAAGTGTACAGCCGACTTCAAAAAAACTATCGCAAAGCACAGCGCAAGAGGAAAAATGATTCTGTCTCCCGCGTTGACGACAACGCGGCGCGTGGCGTAAATGGGATTGGCAGGTTGGTCATCCACTAGGTTCCCTGAGTCTTTGCGTTTATCTTATGGAAATTTTAGGGCATCAAAACGATTGCGTCCAGAACCAGAGAATTCAGGACCGCCACCGGAATTCATTCAGCATGGAAACACGTCTGGTGCGTGCTACTCTTCTGCGCTTTTGTTCGTTCTGCCTCATGGATTACTGACTCATGCTGCAGTGGTCCGGAACGATTTGCGACGAAACTGTCAATCCGTCTTCAAAGCCGGGAACGCCCGGCCCTCTGTCGTCTCAAAAGAGTCTCTCCTTGTTCAAGTCGCCAACCTCCAGAAACAAAATGCCGAACTGCAGGCAGCTTCAGCACCGCCAAGGGAATTCATCCCGTATACCCTCGTCTCAAAAGAGTCTCTCCTGGTTCAAGTCGCCAACCTCCGGAAACAAAATACCGAACTGCAGGCAGCGCTGGCGGCTCAAGAGGAGGGACAGGCCGCTCTTCATCTCCAATGCGAGGAGCTGCAGATACAAAGCATGGCGCTCGAAACCCAAGTGGCTTCCAACCGGGAAGAATGTGCCGCGGTGAGAAGGGCCGCTGACGCCCAAGTAGCTTCCGAGCGTGCCGAGCTCGATAAGCAGAGATGCGCGCTGCAGGTCGCGAAAGAGGCACTTGCCGCTCAGGTAGCTTCCGACCGCCTCCAGCACCAGCAAGACTACGCAGCACTGCGGACGGAAAACGAGGCGGGCCACGCGCTAGTAGCTTCGGTCCTCGCGAAGTGCGCCGACGCTCGGACTGAGAAGGAAACTCTTCAAGTTCAAGCGGATTCGGATCGTCTTCAGCTTGCCGACTTGCAACTCCGCTACGAGGCGGCCAAAGAAATGGCCGCTTCGAGGCTTGTTCAAGAGCTGAGCCTTCGGGACGAGGTCGGTGCATTGGAGAGAGACAAGGAGCGTGCAGCTTTCGATCGTGCTGAGCTTGAAAACCGATATGCGGCATTGGAGGTGGAGAAAGGGCGGCTTGAAGCCGAGATAGCTTCAGCGCGCGCTCGGAATGCTGATATGGAGCGACAGTACGCCGAGCTGCAGAGGCAGAAGGAGGAAGCGGAGGCTCGGGTGGTGTCGAACTGCGTTGAACTCGAGGAACGACAGGCTGCCCTGCAGACCGAGAAGGAAGCTGCCGACATAGAGCTTGTCACCACGAGGCGCGTGTCGTGGAAAGACGCCTCTGGTACGCGTATGTACGTTCCTTTTGAAAAGTCTGCGCTGACTCGGATTGGTTTTGATCTAAAAGGCGAGTCGGATGATGAAGAGGACCGCACCGAATTGACTGCTGTGCGGGCGCACAATGCCGCCTTGCAAGCGATGAAGGACGCTCTTGAAGTTGACAATATGGATCTACAAAGGCGCAACAAGAACCTCACTTTGGTGATAGAGCTCTTGGAGGCGGCGGCAGCTCCTTGAATGTATGGTATTTCTTCCCGTCTCGTCTTCCTTTACCTCGAACAAGTCCGTCCGCTGCGCTTTGAATCACTTTCATTTATGAAGAGCTTTGGGTAGATGGAGGTCAGCGGGAAGAGAGATCATTTCGATTACTGAAATTTTCAAGTATTGAAATGCACTTTGAATCGTGGCTATATTTTAATTCGATAACACGACTCGGAGCTATGTTGTTGTATCTTGCTTTTCGAACATCACGAACGCGCAAAAAGCTATCAAGGCAGTGCCGGTGGAGCCACGGGTCCCCAAGGCTGTCGTGGTCTCCCTCTGTAAACTATTTGTTGCTGAAACCTTTTCCTTTCCATTCGCTGGTGCTGAGCGGAGTCTCATCGATTCTAAATGATTTCTGGCTGAGGGCGTTTCTCAAGCGGATTGTCGGAACCGACTTTCTATCAATCTGAATCGGCGCGACGGCGTTTTCCTTACGCCAGTATGAGTATCCATGCAGTCGTTCTTAAAGTTATTGTCCGAGGCCGGTGCTTAGTCAGAATAGACCACGTGCGCAAGCCCTTTTGGGACAAGGCCATTGTGTTTGCTATTATTGTTCTCATTGTTCTCCCTTTTGGACCATCAATATGCAACGCAACGGCGGACGTGTACAAATAACGGCCCTTTACGTTCGGACGAATATAAAGGCTCGGAGCTCGACCGGATACCGCCCATTCCCTTTTACTTGACCTCTTTCACGCGCTTGGTGCTGGGACGCCATTGTGGAACGTTGCTGGCTCGGATAAAGGCTACTGTCATTCACGACCATCACGCTACTGTCGTCGCTCTCTTCATCGCCAGTCACTATCATGCGCTCTCCCCGTACCTGTGAGTTTACTGTTACAGTTTGAGGATGAGTACTGACCAGACGTACAGTTATCTTCTATGGCCTCAACGCTGTCCGCGCTCTCAGTATCATCGGCCTTTTGCTGGTCTTCTCGAGTAGCATCACCATCATGGTCAAGAATATCCAAGCATTCAACGCCTTCGAGGCTGTCAAGGGCACCAAGGAAGGAGACGAGATGGATGACTGTGACTACATCGAGTACGTGCCGGCAACGAAGCTACTGGGCGCATGCTTACACCATTTCTAGAGGCAGCTCCATCCCAAACCAGGCCGCTGGCGTGTTCTGGGCTGTACTGTCCTCCCTGTTAATCATCTTCCAAACGGTCGTCCTCATCAGTGCGTCCACCTTCCTATCCGCCGCTTTTCTCGCCTAACATCGTTTTAAGTGTCTGAATTCGGCTGGCCTTCCGTGTTCTTCGACCGCTACTTCCCCGTTCTCGGTGCCAACTTTGGCTTGGGTGCCCTTGGAATTTTTCAAGCTTTGTACGTCCCTCCATTCCCACTATCATGACTCCATACTTATCTTCACTCTAGAATGGCTGCGCAAATTCTCTCCCATCATTGTGATGACTTCCCCCTTGTCTCTGCATTCTTCCTCTTCTCCGTCGCCTGCCTCAATATGCTCCTCGGACTCATCTTCCGCGAATCAGCCAAGCAGCGCCGCTCCATCACTGCATGGCGGTCCGACACCAAAGGAATACTCCCCACCTCTATGGACACACGTCCCACTTTTGTCGCCGTCTCGCCGGCGGTGGTCTCTGCCCATTTCACTGGCGAGTCGGATAAGTCGATTGGCTCTTTCCGCAGTACGTCAGATAAGGCGGCATTGGGCTTTGGACGTCAAGGCGAGAAGGCTGCGGGGCTGAAGGGATTCCTGTTGCAACGCCCCGTGGAGTCTCTGCCCCGATACGCGTCCCCGCCACGCCCGACGTCGCCCCCTCATCGGGTGGACATGCCGACGCCCCAGAGGCACGTCTCCTTCCGCACGTCGGACCAGAGCCTGGAGTACGTGGATTACGATGATGACAAGCGGGATAGCCTTGATGGCGGGAAGAGGGAGAGCATCTCGAGTGTTGCGAGCAGGGACTCGCAGGTCGAGGTGGTGAAGACTTCGCCCATGTTCAAGTCGAGCTCGACGGCTATATGATCAAGACAAGAATGATGTGTCGCTTGGACGATATTTAGATGCTTACGGTCTTTCACGTTTATCTATTGACGTCCTTATTGTACTCCCAGTGTATTCGAGAAAAGGACTGTAGATAGCTTACTTACATAGTTACTGTAGCTTTAGTGGTTGCTTCCTGCTTGTCGGGAAGAATAATATTGGTCGGGCTCTGCGCTCGCCCATTGAGTGCCGTTTTGAGATGAAGTTTTTTTTCATTCTAAAACACTCAAAGGCGCGGCGCTGCATACACCTGTGTCTTCCGTGTGGTACTAGTCGAAATGTTCGAAACCTTCTTGGACTCAAATAAGTGTTGTAAAGAACAGGTGGTTTCCAGGCGGCAGCCGTGTCTCAAATATCCATCCCATTCGAGAGCTGATGGGAGCGATCGACGGTACCGAACGAAGAGAGTGAGGACCCGAGGATCGTTGTATAGATTAGTACTCTCAACTTTTAAAGATTAGCACTAAGATATCGCGAGATGATGTGATAAAAGACGCCACAACTTCCTCTGCGAAATGCAGAAGTTGATGATGGAACGACAAGCTGTCCGGATAGGGCATATCATCAGGTTGAAGTTGTTCAAACTTCAAAAAGTGCGGTTGCCAGTCACGACTCACGAGTGTGGAGTGTTAAACAATGTAAAAACATGACGCATAACTACGTTGTCACCAATGGACACTATGGGATTTGAACCCACGACCTCACGCAACTAAGTAAGATGCGAAGCGTGCGCGCTACCCCTGCGCCAAGAGCCCATGCAGAGACCCCCAATACTTCTATGGTGATTTTTCTTGGAACCTCTCTGTAACCTCTCCAGCGCCACTTTCGTGTTATATGTGAGCTCAGGAAAAGTGGGGTATCGAGACAATCCTATGTGAGCACCTAGATTTCGATCCAGTATTGCGCTAATGCGCAGCCGTGCAAACCTATGAGTCATTTCCGTCCCTTATCCTTGCTTTGCCCCGCTGTCGGCGTTTCAGGCATTCAAGTGACGAGCACGATATAAAAATGATGCTCTGATAGCTCTGTTAGGCACCCGCACCTGGCTCGACGCCCCTTCGGGAAATTTCGGACCGTTGTGGCGCAAGACGCGACGGATCGTCATCAGAACGCGCCAAATGGGTTCATAGTATCGTCCCCGTGAAAATCCACATCCCGGACCAGGTCGCGTCGCGCGTCTCGTTCTGGCACTTGCACGTCAATCTTGTATGTACGTTCGGTTCCTATCGCCAGAGGACCTCATGCCGAAACACCCAATGATAGATAGGCCTTCCTCTTAGAGCGGTTTCGCAGCTTCTGACCGTGATCCGTTGACCATATATGGGGCTCGTTGTCCTGCACTCTCACGCCTCTCGATGACCAAATATGAGTCAAGAACTGGAAATGTGCTCGTCCGGGCCCAATCCTCGGAACGCTACATCGTGACCTGCATAGGAAACATACGGGACACGATGCCCTGTTTCCCGCCCTTTCCCGCCTGTAAATGTCAGGGAAACGAGGATCTCTCGGGGCCGAACGAGTGAGGGATTACTATAAGTGGCAAGCTACCTGGATAGTAGTGGACATATGTGGTCGCCTCGTGTTGTCTTCCATATCGACACGGGAGAACACCTCCCTTTGACTCGAAGCTTCGCCGGTTCCTTCCCCCATACAAAAGGGACGTCCGCGAGCCCCGAATCTCTCACCTTCGTTTCTTCCCCACCCCCACTCTCCTTCGAATGTCGACGACGCTCCTTTCCTCCTGCTTCTCGACGCCGCGGCGGGACTCGGACTCGATATCGATGCCGGATTACTACCGCACAACGCGCGTCGAGACTTACGGTCCTTATCTTCGATCCACCGACGGCCACTCGATGTCGGATGGTGTTCTTGTAAGCTTTGCTGGTTTTTTTACGTTTCTATTGGTCGCTGAGGACGCCCTCGTTGGGTAGCATTCTCAGGCTTCGGATACAGGCCCGTATCATTCACAGGAGAGCCTTGACTTTGCTTCGAGCTTCTTTCTGGTAAGTAAATGATGCTCCCAAGAGGTATTATACGTTGACAACTTTCAGCCAGACTACATTGGCCGTGACTTTGATCTCGAGAGCGAACTCGAGGCGGCGGCGACGCGCCCTCGACCACAAAGCAAGCCGAACCTGCGATTCTTTCTTTGGGTAACTTGAATGTATCCGTGGGTTGCGGGCCTGGTTCTGACCCTTGGCTAGCGCATCGTCAAGTACTTTCGTTGCAAAGGCTGGCATCACAGTAGCCGTGCCTAAAGCAAATCCACAAGTAAGTTGTTTGTGACTTCATTCCTGGCTGAAGTTTTGACGATCTTAGCCCAGCCCCGCTTGTTCCTCCAGACATAACGACCACCAAAATCCTCTCACCTCCATCAACTTGAATCATCTTGAGACTGGCGAGCCTTTTGTTGGCTCCAACGACCCATTCAACATTTCGAATCACCACTGCGTTCATACCATTCACTGATCCATGTAAAATTGTCTTGTACACAACTGTAGCACTATATACCTTACTGTACGTTTGTTGAAATCTAAGTAGAATCCTTGTGCAAACGTTGGAGCTTGGAGTGTTAAGCTGTGGCTGTGCTCTGCTCCTTGATCTTAACCATCATGTTCGCGGCCATGGCGACGCCCTGGCGAGGCTGCGCCCAGTGCGCCCATCAGAGTCTTTGGCCACTGCGAGAAACGGAATCTCTCGCGTGTCGGCAACGACGGCGCCGAATGGCTAATAGGGGATCGCGCATGTGTTTTAGACCACCGCCCTCTGTTCTTTGCTTCCTGCGATAACCACCTATTCTTCCCCGGACTCGCTTGACCTCGATTTCAATTTTCCCCGCTATCGCGACCGCACATTTTCATTTACTCCGCGTCTTTGCCACGCTGGACCCGCACCCCATACACTCCGCGTAAAGTTCAAAGTTACGGCAGGACGGGTCGCGACGTCTCCTGGCGTCCTACCACCACGCTATGGACACGGTCGTCCTAAATCCGATTATGTGCAAGTCCGTCCTGGCGGGAACGGAATCCAGCAACTGTGGCGCATATCCAGACAATATGCCGACGCTCTCAGGTGGGTAATTAAAGTACTCTTGATCTGGTTCCATGAAATTCAACCACGCCCTCATAGGAATCCACAGGCTCCCAGTGGAGCTCCTTTCGGAAATCTTTATAGACTATGTTCATTCCCATCCATTCGATTTGTGGGATCCCAACGACGGTCCTCGCCTTTTGGAGACTGTTTGTTCTTTGTGGAGAGCGACTGTTATTTCCTCGCCCCGCGTCTGGTCGACGTTTGTCGTTGTTTCGAGACCCGCCATTCATACACCTTCCGCTATAAAAGTGCTGCATACATATCTTTCGCGTTCCGCCGCGGCGCCCTTGACGTTTTCATTCTACACCGGATCAGCCACGTCGGATCCGAATCCTATCCTTGAGCTCTTGCTTAACCATTCCCATCGGTGGCATGATGTCATGCTCGAGTTGCCCCTCCATCTCTACCCATCCCTCGACCGCATTCATGGCCGACTCCCACTATTACATGCTGTGTCGCTTAGAGCGAAGCAGAGCACCAGTCCCCATGTCGGTGAAATCCTCGCCTTCGCAGATGCCCCCCGTCTGGAGAAATTGGCTCTCTGGGGTACCTGGACAACCGTGCAGCGTGTCACGCTTCCTTGGCACCAGCTCACGTCGTACGCGGACGAAGACGGCAGCGCGACATGCCCGCAGATTCTCCTTGCCATGTCGAATCTCGTGGATTTGACATACCGCCCGAGGAAGATCGATGTACTTCCTTGTCATGTACAGCGGTTGGAGAATCTCACGAGGCTGCGCATTCTCTCCGGCTATCATCTATCTACCTTTTTGGATTATGTCACTTTGCCATCGCTGCAGGAGCTCACGTTGGATGATATGACGCTGCGGTATGAGATCAAGTCGGTGGCGGGGATACTGGAAGACCTCATCGGTCGCTCGCGATGCTTCGTTCAGGTTCTGAACATCGATAATTTGGCGTATGGCGACACGCTCCATCTGTTGCGGTTGTTCCGGTGCATGCCGGAATTGACATCGCTCTGTATCCGACACTACGCCTCCAGAGAGCTGTCGAAGCTGTTTCGGACCCTGCGAGGGTCGGCGGTGTTGCCCAAGTTGAAAATGCTTAGTCTGCATAGTGACTTGACGGCGGCGGTGATTGATGTGGTGGATATGGTGGAGTCGAGATGGGAAGGCGAGGGCGGTGTGGAGAGGCTTCAGAGCGTGGAGTGTCCCCGGTACCCGGTCTATGACAGTTTTACAATGTCGAGGTTGAGAGCTTTAGCGAAGCAGGGTTTGGACGTTTGCTTCAGTAATCGTGTTGAATATTCGGACACTTGGTATTAGATTTTAGACTATCATAGATCTTGGATTAGACTACATATATTGTATTGCGATAGATTGATTTGTTCCCATGAATCACGCTTTTGGAGGAGGATGCGATCGCGTTCCGGAAAAGGCAGATTTTGCATCACGCGCTGTTTCCTTTCTTACCACCATCATCGACCGCAATTCAAAATGCTTGTGAGTACTTCTACGCATTTTATTAGATTTTATCTAATATTTAGCCTTGATAGCAACTCCTAAGACTTGCAGGCTTCACGCGTAAAAAAGATGTTTTCATCCGCGAAATGCGCGAGAGCTGCCCTCAAGCGGAGTATCGGTCGCCATTTTGCCACTGCATCTGGACCCAAACGAGGAGACTCCGGTGCGAACTAATTCTGCTCTACCCCAGCACTTGGCAATTTGCGCAGTTGTTGTCGGAATGTCGGGGGGAGTAGATTCCAGCGTAGCAGCGCGTTTGTTAGCAGACAAGGTGCGTTTCCAGCAAAATATCCCAGCTCAAACTGAACAAAAGCAAGGATTACAATCTTTCTGCAGTGTACATGCGGAACTGGGATACACGCGACGAAACTGCGTCCGACAGAGGTTGCGAATGGGAAAAGGACTGGAACGACGTCCAGCGCGTCTGCAAAATACTCGATATTCCATGTCAGATGGTGTGCCGTTACGCCTGGGCTCGCCCTCCTTCCTTACCGTCGCCTTGGATAGATCGACCTTTCGCGGCAGTATTGGAACCGGGTCTTTGAGCCTGCATTGCGGATATGGGAGAGTGGAAATACGCCAAATCCGGATGTCTGGTGTAATCGGTGCGTAGTCCTTTTACCCAATTTTTGAACGACATTCATTTGAAACAGCGAAATAAAATTCGGAGCATTGCTAGAACATCTGCCTGACAAGACCGCCTGGTTTGCGACTGGTCAGTTCTGTTCTTTACGGCTGTAGTAATATCTAAGCAGGTGCAGGTCATTATGCTCGAAAGGCATGGACACCCTCAACGCCTTCCCGTCCTTTATTGCTCCGTGCTGCAGACCCGATCAAGGACCAGACATACTACTTGTCATCCATATCTGAGGCCGGACTCGCCCGTGCGCTCTTCCCACTCGGCGACTACACGAAAGCGCAAGTACGGGACCTTGCGCGCCAGTACGAATTGCCCACCGCCGAACGAGCTGAAAGCATGGGCTTGTGCTTTGTCGGCGAGAAGACGCGATTCTCCAATTTCATATGTGGGTCAGCACTACGTCGATAAACGCTATGGCTTACGATGTTTTCCAGCGTCATATATACCCCCCAATCCTGGCCCCATTGTGCGTGAAGACACCGGCAAACGTGTTGGTACACACCAGGGTCTCTGGACGTTTACCATCGGAGAAAACGCG